CACCCATGGTATATGGGTAAGATAAAAACAAATAGGTATGGATAGATGGAGTCTGAGGACTAGGCCTTGGGCCATGCCATGGTGAAGGAGGAGACCAAGGTCTGAACCTGTTAAGGGTGCTTCTTGCTCTCTATTTCACACACATTTGTACACACACACTTTCTATCATGAATAACCTTTTTTTGTAAAAAGTTGAAGACAGAAAGAGACTGAGAAGGAATGACTTAGGAGCTATACTCCCTCCCTGAACCCCACAAAAAATGGGGGAGAGGGATTACTATTCTGTTAATGATAATATCACAAGAAATCAATGACAAAATACTCCAAGTTAGAAAACATTTGGGGACCAGCAGATGGCCTAATGGTTAAATCATCAGGCTCCCACATAGTTGACCATAGTTCGAGTCCTAGACCCAGAGGCTTAAAATTCACGCCAGGCACATGTGTGTGCCCAAAATCTTGAGACAAGAAAGGAGAAGGGATTGTAGAGTGGCCTTCCCCCCTGAGGGGGGGGTGATTTCTCACTTTCTGTCTCTGTCTCTGTTTCTCCAGTGAGCACACGTGCCCTATAGCAAAAATCTCTATTAAAAAAAAAAATTGGCTGAGTGATAAACAACTTAGCAGACTCAAGAAAAGCTGAATGCTGAGCCAGCACTGGAGAAATGCACGGGAGAACCCTGATTTACATCGTGCAACCTCAAAGTCCCCAGAGGCAGCAATAAAAATATCAGTGGGACTGAAAAACAGGAAGATTGGTTGAAAGCATATTTTAGAAAGCAGTTAATCCCAATTCCATCCTTTACTTGCCTACTATCGGTGGTCTCAGGATCAGACTGAAAATCACTCACAGGGCCCAACAGACCACAGTCTGGCACCAGTTTCACTCAGCTCTCCAGTGACAGCATACAGGAATGCTAGCAGCATACATGCCATCCTTGCAGGGGGTCAGTACAGTCCACCAGGGGCATATTCTCAACCCAGAAATGAACGAGACCATGTAGGTAAGTGTAGAAATCACCCTGGCTTAAGAAAGCTTTATGCACCATGGGAACACGCAGTACTGTGTAACATCCAATGAGGTTAAAATCCAGGGCCCTCGAGGGATGTGTTTATGCTTTACGGGGACTTACACTGCACACCCGGAAGTTAAGGTCTATGTTTTTTCATTGGCTTATATAGTTTTTCATGGGCAGTCTTCCTCATGTATATGCATTCACCAATCACAAGTCAATTTTATAATAAACATTACTACCTGGAGACATTCTATATTTAATCTTCACCATTCAGTAGTATATGTTTCCAGGAAAGGAATGCCAGGAGAAAAACCCAAGGTCATTCTTTCTTTCTTTCTTTCTTTCTTTCTTTTTTTTTTAAGAGAGATTTTTGCTTTAGGCTACATACACTCACCAGAGAGACAGAGACAGAAAGTGAGAAATCCCACCCCTCCAAGGGGAGATGGCCACACCCTTCTCCTCTATTCTCCTCTCAGGATTTTAGGCACAGATGCACATGTGCCCGGCATGAGTTCAGCTGTGCTGTTAACTCTTGCTACTTGAAGCAGCAATCCTCAAGTCAAGGTGGTTTTGTTCACAGGGAACATGTTACAAAGCCTGCAGACATTTTTAGTTGTCACAACTGGAGGGAGTGTGTGTGCAACTGCCCTTTTGTGGGTAGAAGCCAGTGTATGCTCAACCTCTTACAATACGCACGACAGTCCCTCACACCAGAAAATTAGCTAGCCCAAAATGTCAATAGGGCAGATGGCATAGGAACACTCATCTAGAAGGGTCAGATGGAAGTTCATGTATTGAACCCTGAACACCACCCTGTTCTAATGCTGGCTGTCAGGCATAAGCCTTGCAAGCAGGAAGGTGGAAGAATCGTCTCTGGAGAAGCTCACTAGCCCAGAAGAAAAGACCTAAGAATAACTGTAAAGACTGTGAGGGGGGGAAACAGCCATTGGCGTAATGGCTATGTTGCTGGACTCTCATGTAGTTGACTACGGTTTGAGTTCCAGACCTGGTGGCTTAAACTCACGCCAGGCACGTGTACATGCGTGCTCAAGATCCCAAGAGGAGAATGGAGGAGAAGGGATTGCAACGTCGCCATCCCCCAGGGGGTGATTTATCACTTTCTGGCGAATGTATGCACCCTATAGCAAAAACCTCTCCAAAACAAAAGACTGTGTGTGGGGGGGATAAAACCAACAACAACAAAATATACAAAACAGAAAACAAATGTAAGAAAGTGAAAGTAACAGAACATTAATTCTGTTTGAACCAAATGAGAGATTTAATCAATTGGGGGGAAGTATGGAGTTGAGATAATGATAAACATAGAAACTTAATTGTTTTTAAATTTAAGGATAATTATTAATTTCAGAAAAAGCAAAATGATGTCCTAGAAAGGAAATATAGTGAGATTATTCCAAGTTTACCAGTAAATTACAAATATTTAGTCATTATAACATAAACATTGGATATTAACACAGTGTTATGGGTTAATAAAATATTAGCGAATGGAGATATAGGAGGAGACAAGTCAGGGAAATTGTCTACAGACAGCTATATCTTCATCTTCCAGAGTGAAAAGTCAGTAGACACACTTACAACTGAAAAAAATAAATCAAGAAATAGCGATACAAATGCAGATCTCAGGATCCAGCATTAAATGCCGTAAGAATTGGCCAAAGGAACAGAAATGCTTACCTCTGGGAGCAGAATATGAGGTCTGAGTGCTGGAGACAGTTTTCCGTGATTAATCCCTCATAAGTTACTGACTATAAATAGTTTTCATAGAACAATTTAACTCCATGCATGGAAAACTAATTAAAATACTTAAAAAATATATTTGATTTTAAAGAGAATTTGATACATGGGTTTGAGATCCATGAAGCTTGCCTCCAATTACTTGATTTGAATCAGAACAGACTAGACTCAGAAAAAAAGCATAGTGAAGCAAGTTCCAGTTTTCTTAAATAACTTTTATTCCTCTGGGCAAGGCAGAAGAGTAGGCTAGACAGATAGGACTACCCTCTTTCTTTTACTCTCTTTCCCAATTCCTGGATTACTCAGCAAACCTTAGTCTTAAATTAAACCACTGAATACCAATAATCCTTGACCACAGATATCACTAGAGGATTTTGCTGGGAGAGGGGGACTTTTCACTTTTTATTTTACTAGTCATTTACTGTTTGAACTTTTTAGAACGAGTGTATTTTACAGACAGAAAGACACATAAACACACATTAGAAAATCCTTAATGATTAGTTTATAACCTGTCTCAACTCAAAATAATCTGACTGGCAGGAATTAATATTAACATACAAAATGGAGAATGACCAAGAACATACAACCCTATTAAAATATTGCTCATGTCATAGCAGGTGAATTGAAAAGACATGAAATGATACATACTAAGTAGCTGGCACTAAATATAATCGCCAAATATCAGAAAATAGAAGTCACTTTTTAGTTCTTTATACAATATAATACATGACACTTATATGAATTTTGTCTTAAAAAAACTAAAGTTTGGGAACCAGCAGTTTGCGTAATGGCTGTTGCTGGACTCACATGTAGTTGACCGCAGTTCGCGTCTCAGACCCGGTGGCTTAAAACTCACGCCGGGCGCGTGTGCGTGCGTGCCCAAGATCCCAAGAGGAGAATGGAGGAGAAGGGATTGCGGTGTGACCATCCCCCCTGGGGGGTGATTTCTCGCTTTCTGTCTCTATATCTCTCTCTGTCTGTCTGGTGAGCGCATGCACCCTATAGCAAAAACAACCTCTCAAAAAAAAAAAACAAAAGACAAAAAACAAAAAACAGAAAACTAAAGTTTATTCTTTACATTGATATAATTTGCTATCTTTCGTTGCAAGAAAACTAAAAAGTTTGTCTCCAAACCACCATGATTCATACTTCTTTTGTATGCCTAGTACCTGGAACATAGCTAACCACCCAGGAAGGTAGCAAGAGTCACTGACTGATGTAAATTAATCTAAAGAATTAAATCAATTGAGGGGGAAAATCCACTGATTTCAAATAATTGTATGAATTTTAAATTTTTCTATAGTTCCTTGGACAATGTTTTACCAGATTTTACTTTAGTATTTATTATTTATAAACAGATTCTTTTACTCTGAATTTGAGAATGCTGTAAACATAAGCTTATTGCAAAGGCTGACTTTATTTAGTCTCGAGTGTTATTCTTTCTTGCTGCTACTCTGTAACAGAACTGCCAACACTTGAGGAAAATAACTTAATACAAAATGTTCTTTCACTAAACTCTGCTCTTGTTCAACTTTTTACTACCACAAGTTCATTCTCTACCCTCACCCCATGACACTAAGAATCTGTTCATGTATGCTACAGAATGTCTGAACCACCCTCTGAGGAAGGTGGACCCAGAACCACTAACTCCTTAGCACTACTCCAGTACTCCAAGTACTATTAACTTATGAAGAATTGATGAGAGGTTGAACAGCTGATCTAGGTCCTATGGGTAGAGAGGCAAAGCAAAAACTCAGAACTGAGTTTTCTGATTCCAAGTCCAGAGGCTCCTTCCATTATACCACACTGACTTTTTAATAATACCATGGAGTGGGACCAGCAGTTGGAGTAATAGCTATATTGCTGGACTCCTATTTAGTCAACTGCAGTTCAAGTCCGGCTTAAACTCACACTGGGCATGTGTGCGTGCATGCCCAAGATCCTGAGAGGAGAATGGAGGCGAAGGGACTGTGGCGTGGCCATCCCCCCTGGGGGTGATTACTTGCTCTCTCTCTGTCTTTCTGGCGAGCGCACGCGCTCTATAGCAAAAACCTCTCCAAAAAAATAAAGTTCCATTTGTAGTCTGATTTTAAAACTTACTTAGCTCAGAGGTTATCTTTGGCAAATTTTAAGTACAGAAGAACTAAAAGGTAAAGTAAAACTACATTCTTTTCATATCATTTTCCCCTTATTTTAATACTGAAGTACCAGGAAACAGTTCCATCTATTTACCTCTGTAATTGGCTGTCCCTGATGTGTCAAATCCAGTTCTTGAGGGCGTGCCACTTTATCAATATCCAAAGAGTCCATGCTGGAGGCTGCAGAAGTGATGCTGGAACGCGAGGAGTTACTGATGGAGCGCACATCAGCATCACTCACTGTGCCTGCCGATGCGGTTCTTCTGTGCTGATTAGTCACTAAGGGCTTGGTATCTTCTAGTACAGACTGCTGAGCAGCCTCGTCCATGCTTAAGGAGGCCTGTTCTAATTGAGCAGTGATGTCGTCCAGGGAGTAGTTGGCATGGGAAGGTTTAGTGATCCTGTTAGCTGAGGAAGGTAATCCTTTCAAGGTGCCATGTTTTGATGTATGTCGGCTAGTAGGCAATTTCTGAGCAGCTTTTGTTTCTGTGATTTGACGCTTACTGTTTCCTGAACCAATGCTGCTGAGCTCCTGCTCTATAGAGCAAAGATCGGCCATCAGAGCATCCAGATCCACAGTCTCTCCCTGATTCAGAGCTTCTGCAATGAACAACACATAAAATGTTTCTGGAACACATTTCATTAGCATTTATACTGTCTATTAGTACTATAAATTAGTCTATAAATACAAGAGAAGAAGCGAAAGAATTCATCTCTTTGGGCCTCAATCCAATCACATACATTATTTTTAAGTTTTTCATTTGCTTTTAATGCCAATAGAAGTTTTTAGAAGCAAACAGTCCATCTTTTAAGATTTGCAGTAGTCAAAGAAAAATAAAAATATGAGTTCAAAGATAAATATAATACAAAAATCTTGTGCTGTTTCATGTTTGTTTATTTTTGTTGTAGGGTGCATATGCTTGTCAGAGAGACAGAGAGAGAGAGAGAGAGAGAGAGACGGGGGGGGGCAGGGAGGGAAAGTGCGAAAGCATTCCCCAGGGGAAATGGTAACACTGCAATCTCATCTCTTCTAGTATCCTCTCAGGAACTTGGGCACATGCACATACAGTATGATTTTCAAGCCACTGGGTCTGGGACTCCACCATGCAGTAGCTGTGTGGGATCCAGAGTCCCAAACTTCACACTACCTGCTGGTACCACATTCCATGTTTTTAACCAGAACCTGCATGTAACTTTTTAACAAAGGCTTTAAACGTTGTCAATATGGGGGCAAGCAAGTGGCCTGGTGGTTAAGGACACTGGACTCCCACATGGCAGACTGCAGTTCAAGTCCCAGACCTGGTGGCTTGCTTTCTCACTCTCCCCATCCCTCTCGCTTGCTCTGTCCCTCTCTGGTCAAATTAAAAATAAATGAAATAAAATAAAATAATTCTTTTTTTAAAAAAACCTGTCAATATGATCAGTGCCTTGGTAGAGATGTTAATACTAAAAGAGCTGAGGGTATAAAAAAGTGAAAAATCTTTAAAAAATTACAGACTGAAGCCAGCAGATGGCGTAGAAGCTATGTCGCTGGACTCCCACATGCTGACCACGGTTTAAGTCCTGCAGCTAGTAGCTTGAAACTTACACCAGGTGCATGCCCAAGATCCTGGAAGGAGTGGAGAAGAAGGGACTATGGTGTGCTATTCCCCCAGGGAGTGATTTCTCACTTTCCCTTTCACTGTCTCCTTCTCTCTGGCAAGTGCACCTGCCCTAAGGCAAAAAGCTCTTAAAGAAAAAAAAAATTATAGACTAAAATTTCAATTTCGAATACTACAAATTTGACTAGGTATAGCATACTAAGTAAAGGCCACAGGGGCTGATTTTAAAATTACTAACAGGTAATTTCGCTAAATTTTAATCCAATGGGAAAACAACAATGCTGTGGGGTTCTACCTGAGTATGTACTTTGCCAATTATTAATAAATCAATTTAAAAAACTTTTTTAAAAGAGAGATGTTTGCTATAGGGTGCGTGCACTGTTCAGAGAAACAGAGAGACAGAAAGCAAGAAATTACTCTCTAGGGAAGAAAGGCACATTGCGATCCCTTCTACTCCATTCTCCTCTCGGGATTTTATGCATGTGTGCACACAAGCCTAGCGTTGAGTTTTAAGCTGCCAAGTTTGGAACTCAAACAGGAGTCAATTTCATGGGAGTCAAATGATGTAACCATTACACCATTTGCTGGTCCCAAACTATTTTTAATTATGTTCTAGTTTGCATATTTGTGATCATTTGAATTAATAATACAATGCAGTAATCAAGAAATACAACTCTGTCAAGTTATGCATACAGTTTTTATACTGAATTACACTGGAATATAGCAACACTGCTCCCACATTATATAATAACGTGCTATTTTACATTTTATTTCTAATTATGTCTTACCATTCAAGTTGTATATGGAGAAGCGATAAGAAAAATTGGCCATGTTTGTTTCCTGGCGAAGAGGAGATCTTTTTACTGGTTCCGTGGGCTTGTCAGAATCCAAGCTCTTTAAAATAAAAATTTAATAATATCAAATTCAGGTTTCAATTATATAACAAGACCAAGTTTGTTTTATGAATTGCCACATAATAATGAATAAACCAATTTCTTCTAAGACTAGCCTAAAGAAAAAGCATAATTTGTTTTGCATCTTTTTTTTTTTTTTTTAATTGTCAGAGGGTGTGTGCACTCTCAGGAAACTGAGGTGTAAGAAGAGGGGAGGAAGGAGGGAGATGGGGAGGAGAGAGAGCAAAAGCACCCTATGATAAGACACGGTCACCCCTCAATCTTTTCCCCCCTTTTCTCCTTCCATTCAGGATTTTGGCATGTATGCATACATGCTTGGTGTCTCTTAAACCACCAGGCCTGTAGCTAGCTACATGGGATCCGGCTCCCAGTACACGGTGTTCAACCGCTGTGCTACAGGGCCAGTCTCTCATCACTTTTTTGGTTATACAGATGAATATTCCTTATCTGAAATGCTTAGGACCAGAAGCGTTTTGGATTTTGGAACATTTGTGCATACATGAGATATCTTGGGGATGGGACCCAAGTCTGGACACAAAATCCATTTATGTTTCACATAGCTATGTTACACATAGCCTGAAGGTAACTTTATATGTTTTTTTATTGCAGCATTCTGACTGTGACCTGCCACATGCAGTCAGATGTAGCATTTTGTACATGTGGTATCATGTCAGTGCTCAAAACGTTTCTGATCTGAGGGCCAGTGGTAACACAGCTGGGCCCACACAGGAAAGGTCCTGAAACCTCCCTGAGCATAGGGTACCTGTGCCTATGATCTGGGCCAGCCAATGGGGACCCTGCAACTATCTTTCTGTCACTCTCCTATTCTCATGGGAGAAATACATAATAAATACAAGAAAATTTTTAAAAGGCTCTGAGTTTGGGGCACTTGATATTTCAGATGTTTGGATTAGAGATGCTTAATCTATAGTTACTTTAATTTTTAGACTTATATGTACTTTCAAGGTTCTTGACATAGTTCAGAGTACGTATCTTTTTAAATACATCAAGTATAGCGACTGACCTCATTTTACATAAATTCACTATGAAATAAGTGACATACAGGAATATGGATATGGTATGGTAAGAAATAGAAAGGAACCACGGAGAGAATTCTGTTATCTCTTTCTTAGAAGGGATTGTTTTTGGTTCCGCTTAGTCTCGTTCTTTGGTATGAAGTACTCTGCAGATAAGGGACAGCTCTGAATTCAAAATTAGTTAGACCCAAGACCTTAACACAGAGCACCTAGAACTTCAAACAATGATGGAATATCCTTGTTCTTTGCAAACTCTATCAAGATAAGGGCAAGCTACAACCCAGCCACATAGCCCATGACTAGAATTAGAATTACACTGCAGTTTAGAGCAGGGTGACTTTTCAGTCATATCATCAAATTACTGAATTGATACTTTTTTCCACTCTAACCTTTTTACAATGTGGAAAAAGGTTGATTTACAACAGAGAAATTCAGGGAAAGTATTAGAGGTGTCTATTAAAATAAAATTGCAAATACTAGCATTAGTTTTTTAAAACTTTAATTTCTGTCTAAAGTATCAAATAAGCTTTGAATAAAAATAAATGCTTGATATTCTATTTGTGGAATCACAGAATTAAAGTAGAATGATATGTTCTACTTTAAATGGAGAAAGTATTCACAAATAAATAAAAATGAGGAGTAGAGTCTGAACATTTTAGGAAACTGAGAGAAAAGTCAACTGTGTCAGATAATGACCAGAAGCACAAATAACAATACCCAAAATTACAGAGCACTCCCTTTAATCGGCAGAGGATATAACAGAGGAGTTCTCTCCGCTAACAGACCCTGTAACATATCAAACAACACAAATAAATACTCATTTATCTCAAGATAAAATTATTCCATATAGGGTCGGTCCCACAGCACAGCAGTTAAGTGCTGCAGAGAGGAAGCTGGGTCCGATATTGACTGACTAGAATTTCAGCTCCAATCATGATGACTTGAAAAACATGCTAGAGGGACCAGCAGTTAGTGTAATGGCTATGTCGCCGGACTCCCACGTAGTCGACCACAGTTTGAGTCCTGGATCCGATGGCTTAAACTCACACCAGGTGCATGTGCGTGCCCAAGATCCCGAGAGGAGAATGAAGGAGAAGGGATTGTGGTGTGGCCATCCCCCCTGGGGGGTGATTTCTCGCTTTTTATCTCTCTGTCTCTCTCTGTCTTTCTGGAGAGCGCACGCACCCTATAGTGAAAACCTCTCTGGAAAAAAAAAAAAAAACGCTAGGTGCATGCCTGCATGACTAGAATCCTGATGTGAACTGTGGCATGACCAGGTTCATTGGGGGTGTTTTCTCTCTCTCTCTCTCTCTGCCTTCTCTCTGTCTCTCTCTGGTATACCACTATTTAAATATGCAGCCTAAGGAGTCAGCAGGTGTGGTGGTTAAAGGTGCTGGACTCCCACATGGCCAACCATGGTTCAAGTCTTACTTTCCCTCTCTCTCTCTGGTCAAATTTAAAAAAAAATAATAATAATAAGGTTAAATAAAATAATTCTTTAAAAAATGTAGCCTAAAGTAAAATTTTGTCAGGATTATGGAATCATGCAATAAGAATTATGCACATGTGAAGATATTATTTATGTTATAAAATGTATTCAGATTTACTGTTATGAAATAGATTTGCTAAACTTTAGACTTTTAAACTTTAGGCTTTACAACTTTTTAGCTAGCAATGTCAAATTTATGAAACAGATATTAAGTAACCCCTCTAGATGAACAGTATCTCTGTCATAAATAAATATTTTTAAGATCCTTCAAATAATCATAGAAGATAATATTTTGTGTTTTAGAGTTGTTATTCATCTACTTGTTATTGTTTTTGGACATTTTTCCTTCCTAACAGTATTTTTAAATTTAACTTACACCCATATTTTTATGTCTGCACATTGCAGTTTTATCACACAGTGATGATGTTAAATCCTCAACCAGTTTTTCAAACACTACTTTTTAAAAATAATTTATTTATTAATTTTAATGATTATTTATACACTTACCCACTATTCATCATTTAGATCATGAAGAGACCTTAGCCAGCATGACACACACCTCAGTCCAGCCCAGTTGAGAACATACGCAAATCCTCATCAATAAATAATAAACCATATCCACGTCCCACAAATGCCTTACCTCTCCATTCCCCCCCCCCAAATTTCCTTTCCTCCGCTTTTTCCTC